ACCTTATTTAAAAAAAAAATAGGGAGGGGGCGCCTGGGTGGCTCAGTCGTTAAGCGTCTGCCTTCAGCTCAGGTCATGATCCCGGCGTCTTGGGATCGAGCCCTGCGTCGGGCTCCCTGCTCTGTGGGAAGCCTGCTTCTCCCTCTCCCGCTCCCCCTGCTTGTGTGCACTCCCTGGCTGTCTTTCTCTCTGTCAAATAAATAAAACCTTAAAAAAAAATAAAATAAAAAAAATAAAAAAATAAAAAAAAATAGGGATTTGAAGACTTAAAGTCCAGTGACTCAGTGAAATGAAATTTAACAACAGTTACAAAGAGCTCTCGGGTGCCCCACCCTATGCTGGACACGGAGTGGTGGGGGGCTAGAGAGAGGCCCAGGCGCAGGGAGAAGGCTGGGCTGACAGGACGTGCACCCTGCTGGCGGCCTTCTGACTTCTCTCCGTCCTCATGGCCACCCAGGGAGATGGGCCTTAGAATCCCATTCGGCAGATGAGGAAACAGAGGCTCAGGGAGGTAAAGTGACCTACCCGTACCACCTGTGATGGAGACAGAATTTTAATCCAGTCTGTCTACCTCCAAAGCTCCTAGCACCCCCTCGACCCCGCTTTGAGATTCGTCACCAAGACTCCAGCCATGACTGTGCGCGCGCCCGCGCCCGCGCCCGCGCGACGGGGTTGCTGGCAGGAGGGCAGAACTGACAGGTCAGAGCAACCTGCCTCCTCGCGTTGTTGTGACTTAAAGAAAAACCGGAGGGAGTGCAAAGCTGAGAACAGAAGTCACAAACATCCCCCCAACGCGCACGCGCGCGCGCGCACGCGCGCGCGCACACTGGGCTTATTTTTGGATTCTGGGATGATTAATTTTATAAGGTTTTCTCTTGTCATTTTAGTTGGCAGATGAGCACGGGTTCTTCAGCTGCTCTTTATCCTTTGAGCACCAGAGGCTGCTCCGTGCCTGAGACAGCGCCGGCCCTGTGAGGCTGGAAAAATCTCTTGCAGCTACAGCATAGGGTGGGCCAGGCCACCAGCCGCCCAGCCCCCGCCGGGCCCCCGGGGGCCAGACCCTCCCAGCAGGGGTCCCACCGCCTCCTGCCCTGGCCCTGACTCGGACGTCATCTCTGCTCCCCTCCTTCCCACCCTCCCCCTTCCACACATGCATGGCAACCCACCTCCTCTCTCCCGACACTTCCTCTGCCCTAGTTTCTAGGAGGGGGTCCGTGCAGCCATCTGCACTTAGCGCGCCCCCCCCTTCTCTGACCTCCCCAGAACGAGCAAAGGCTTTGAGGTCAGAGTGGGGTGGATTCGACTGCCACTCACTAGCTCTGTGACCCTGGGCAAGTTACCGAGCCCGGCTATGCCTCAGTTCCCGCATCTGTGACATGGGATCAGAAGGTTCTTGTGGGGACTCAGATGGTGTTTGGAAGACATTCATAAGTATTATTGTGTGAAGGTGCATGTTGTGTGAAGGAAGCCTTCAAGGCGGAGGTGACATCTGAGCGGGGTTTTGATGGATGGAGTCTACTTGCTAGGCAGGGAGGTATGAAACAGCACAGCATGCTGGGAGGAGCAGAGGTGGTTTCCAGTTGCTGGGCAGTCAGAAGCAGCTAAGGAGGAGGGCGGGAAGCAGATTTCAGAGATCAAGTCAGCAGTTCCCCAGCCAGCCTGCCCTCGTTCCAAGCCACTCAGCTGTCACTAACACCTGCAGGCTCTGCAGGCCCTCACCGCAGGACCTTTGCACACACCACGCCCCTGCTGGGAGTGCCCTCACCTCGCTCCTGCCGGTACACTCCTGCTCCTTCCGGAAGCCTCTGTCACTCACTTGTGCTGAAAGGAAGCATCCCTTCTCTGAAACTCCGTCACTGCCATTCTACCCCCGGGGACCTGGACTGCAGACTCCAATATGTGGAGAGCTGACGCACAGTAGGTGTTCAATAAATGTTAAGATGCTGAGCACCTGCCTCTCAGACATGCCCAGAATTTGCCAGTTTATGGGCACTTTCACCCCATGATTTGATCGGAGGCAGAGATCACTATTGTTAACGTTCATGAAGCAGATGCCAAGACCAGAGACGAAAAGTGACTTGTCCAAAGCCACACAGCAAAATGATAAAAGAGCTAGGTGCTTGAACCCAGGCCTTCTGCTCTAACTACAGTGAAATCATCACTGTTACCCCCAATATGGCCATTTCTTGAGCATCTACTCTGGCCAGGTGCTTTAGAGGCATGATCTCTTCCAATTCTCAGGTGACAAAATGGAGGCTCCAAATCCCCAACCTTCTCCTGTGATGGGGGGGCTGACTACAGCTGTGCTGTCCAGACTCAAGGATAGCACGGAGTCTGGTGCTGGGCCACCTCACACCTGAAGCAGTCAGTTCCTTCCCTGAAGCCCTGGGCAGTACCCTGCTTGACACTGTCCTCTGGGAGGCCACTCACAGTGGGGGGTGGGGTGGGGGGGTGGCCCCCACCATGGCTAGGCTGACCAGCGGCGATGGCAGGGAGAGAGATGCTGGACTCTGTTTGATCCCTATGCCCAAACCTCTGCCTCCACGCTCACCTCCTCCAGGTAGCCTTCCCCCTGAGAGCAGGAAGGGACCTTGTGGACCATTCCCCTCTCTGCCCCCATTTCACAGGGTGGGAAACCACAGCCCAGAAGGGAAGGCCCAGGAGGCCTCCTGGCTCCTAGCTCAGGACCCCTTAGGCCCTGCTCTGCTGCTGGGACCACACTCAATACACACTATGCTGTCCATGCCTCCTGCTGAGGGCGGCAGGCATTCAGGGCCTCGGGTTCAGGCTTTAAAACAGAACATCTGGGTCCCTGTGGGCCCTGTGGGACGGCCACAGCTACCCCCCCCCACCCCGCACCGAGGCAGTGGAGGCTCCACCAGCCCAGGTGAGGTGGGCGTTGTGTCCGATTTGCTGGCTCTTTGCACACTCTTTTCCAAGTGCTTTCCAAATATGAGCTCTTCATTATGACATCAACCAACCGAGAATGCCCCCCTCTTACAGTGGAGGGAGCCCAGGATGTAGGTACCATTATTATCCCCATTTTACAGGGAGGGAAATGGAAGCTCTGTGATGCTGAGGATGGACTGGAGGTGAGAGAGCGTGGGGGGAGGGGGTTGGGATTTGGACCTGGACTGTCTGACCCAGAGTCTCCCGTCTTAACCTCTACCCTGCGATGCTCTCTTGAACTCAAGTCTGTGCCCTCCGCCCTGCATTCCCTGAGGTCTGGACTCCACATTTCCTCTCTGAAGGTGGAAAAGGCTTTGGGTGGGAAAAGGCTCCAAGGGAGTGTACAGAGGTTTTATGATTGAAGCCCTGTATGAAGGCTTGTTGTTATTTAAATATCACGAATCTAAGCCATTATAAAACATCATGGTTATCAGCTAAACCTGCCTTCACGGAAAAGTCACTGTACCTCTCTGAACTGTGGTTTCCTTTTCTGTAACAGGAGAATAATGCCCTCTGTCATCCAATGCAGGTAACCTTTGAGATGGCTCCCAGTGATCCCCATCTCCTGGTATTCATGTCCTTGTGTAGTCCCATCCCTTTGAGTGTGAGCTAGACCGAGTGACTCACGTCTAGTGAACAGAATATAGCAAAAGTGATGGGATGCCCATGTGGCAAAGGACCTGAGGGGGGCTTCTGGCCAACAGCCAGTGAGGAACTGAATCCTGTCTATAGCCATGCGAGTGAGCTTGGAAGCAGGTCCTCCCCCAGCTGAGCAAGCCTTCAGATGAGAACACAGCCCAGAGGCACCCAGCTGAGCCAGGCCTGGATTCTTGATCCACAAAAACTACGAGATAATAAATGCTGCTAAGTTTTGGAGGGTGTCTGGTAATGCAGCTATAGGCAACTAATATACTTGGTGTTTTTCTACTCGGTGCCAGGCCCTATTCTGCCCATACAAGTATTCAAGATACATTTATGGAGCGCCACTGTGTGCCAGGCACAGTGCCCAGTATAGAGTTTGCAGCGATAAACCAGACATGTTATCCCCACTCTCAAAGACCTCAAGGCTGAATTAAGGAGACAGATTTGTGAACGGACAGTATGAGCAGTGCTGTGGGAGCCCAGGGCAGGCACCTGACCCAGCCTGCAGAATTCAGAGGAGGCTTTCTGGAGGAGGGGATGCCTGAGACAAACCCAAGACTGGGGAGAACCTCCCAGTCAAAGGTGGAGCAGAAGGGCATCATAGAAAGAGGCCAAGAGAGTGGCAAGGTGAGCTGTAAGGAGACTTGCCCACTGGGGGGACACAGGGAAGCAGGCTGTGGCAAAAGCATGGCTGGAAGGGGGTACTTGGCAGAGAGGAAGAGCATGGAGGGTCTCAGGTGCCCACCAGAGAGCCTTGGACTTATCTGCCAGGCAGTGGGGAGTTACCAGGGGTGTAAGCAGCTCAGGGTCGTGGCCAATAAGACTGAGCAACATGATGCTGGCAGCAGAGTGGAGGACCAGGCAGAAGGGTCAGGCAGGAGGGCAGGGACCCAGGCAGGATGATGGCAGCTACACTACTCAGGCAGGAAATGATGGAGGTTGGGCTGGCAGAGGGAGGCTGGGAAGGAGTGGCTAGATCTCAGAGATATGGACAGGCCGAATAGACAGGGGTTTGGGGTCTAAGTGGATGGGGAAGGTGGTGTGAGGGGGAGGAGAGAGGAGGTAAGAATGCTGCCCAAGTTGGGGTGTGGGGTTGGTTGTGCCATTTACTTAGGCGATGTGCACAGGCGCATGGACAGGTGCTTGGTGGGAGAAGCAAGACGAGAAGGATGAGTTGGCCAACGCGGATTTTGCAGCGTTGCCAGAAAAGAAACCTAGGCAGACTGTCCCGCTAGGAAGCAGGTCCACGCCCTTGCAGAGAAAAGCTACAGGCCTGGTCTGGGAGAGGCGCCCTGGAAGGGTGTCCCGGAAGCCAAAGGGCCGGCGTTTGGAGAGAATCCGCGGGGACGTCCCTGCAGACGCTGGGGGCCACGACCCCAGCCCTCCCGACCTGGGGACGGGTCACCCACCTGCTGTCCGTAGCCCAGCGCCTTGTCGTAGAGCGCGATGCCGGCGGCCAGCACCTGTGCCCGCTCCTCCGGGCTGGCGCAGCCCACGTCGAAGCCGTGCGCATAGCCTTGCTCGGCCAGGCAGCGCGCCGCCCGGCGCTGGGGGTCCCCCGGCGCCTCGCGCTCCGCCGCCAGGCCCATGAGGCCAGCCAGCCGCCCGGCGCTCGCCTCCTCCTCTTCCTCCTGGCCCAGCCGCCCGTACACGTGCGCCAGGTTGGCCCAGGCGTTGAGGTTGCCCGGGTCCTCGCGGGCCACCTCGAGGAAGAGCTCGCGGGCCTCGTCCAGTTCGTCCAGGTAGAAGGCGAAGGTGCCTAGGAGGTGGCGCACGGCGGGGCGCTGCGGGGCGGCCGCCAGCTCGAGCTCTTGCTGCAAGCCGTCCCGCTGCAGCTTCAGGTCCCGGGCGCGGAGCGAGGCCGGCGAGCGCGGCTCGAAGTTCAGCTGCATCTCCAGGTGGAAGTGGCCCGGCAGGTAGTCCAGGTCGTCGATGAGGGCGTCCAGGTCCTCGGCCGTGGCCTCTGGCTCCGCCATGGCAGCCCCGCTGCTCCCCGGGCCTCGCCCCTGCCCCAGCGGCTGCGGGGGTGGGGGGGTGGGGGGACGTGGCTGGGGCGCCCCGGATCGAGCCCGGCGCGGAAGGAGAGGTGCAGCGCGCGCGCGCGCGCGGAGGCCCAGGGTCCCGCCGCCTCCGGGTGCCGGGGCACCTCCCTCTGGTGGGAGGGTCTGAGCGTCGGCTCCCGGAGCGGCCTGTGGGTGTGTCGGCTTTCGCTGCTCAGCGGCTCTTAGACGCCCGCATTGCACAACCGGGTGTGCCTGAAAAACAGGTGCATTGCCAAGTGCGGGGCGCGCAAAACACGGTGCATGGCAAAAGGCCTGTTTTGACTCTCTCTGCCCAGCAGACGCAGAAACAGGCTCAGGAGGAAAGGACTAGCCCAGGTCACAGGACGGAAGCTGTGCCCAAGCCTCCCAGAACCCAGTTGGCTGAACCCCAGCCAGGCCCTTTCTCCGTGGGCACTTCTCCACGCTCTCTGTGTGAGCTCGCTAGTGACTAGGAGGGTGAGGGCTGGTCCTTCCAGCTGCCTGGGGAAGCCCCCTCATTCTTGCTGCTTCTCCCATCCTCTCCGAAGTTCCTGTGTTCTTCCCCCGAAGGGAGCCTGCCACTTCTCTCTGAGCCTCCTTAGGCCATGATTTGTCAGGCTTCCCCACTTAGGATTCCCCTGACTCCTCTCTGTCCTGCAGTTGGCCACTGTGGAAAGATTCTGGGGCTCCATGTGCTGGTTCTAATCCTGGTTCTCCATCCCTAATAACCTCTGACCCTCATAATTATGAACGGCTTCATAATTTCACACTTGCATACTTTCCTCATCTGCGACATGAGGGTCACATTCTCTCCCCCAAGGTAGACATCCAGGGTAAACCTGGTGAATGTCACTCTGGGTAACTATCAGCTCCACTGCTCCCCCTTGGTTCCCACTCTATCCTGTACACCACCTGTGGTCCAGTTTTCTTTCTCTTATCAGACTTCCCGCAGGACTAGCACTGGTTCCCTGCCCTGGAGAAGGCTAGGCTATGCTCCCTGCTGCAAGGCTGCTAGTCCTCCAGTGCTTGGGCTGTATAGCAAGTCTGAGCTTCTGAGACTCTCCCACCCTTCATTCCACCTGGGCAGGGCTCCTGAGACGCTGTTCCTTCATCTTCTCAACAAATAGGCCAGTATTTTCAAAAGTGGAAATAGAGCCAATTAGTAAACCTGGAAAAAAAAATTGACTTGAGCAATAAAAAGGTAAGTTAAAAATATCATTCTGGTGTTAGGTTTCACCTGTAATTTTACAATATAAAATTTAATAATTTTTAATAAAAAAATTATTGCTATAAATTCCTGGTGATCATGAGATGACACTTGGGCTCTGACCTTCTTGGGGGCATCAGGGATAGATTCCCAGAGTGCTTGGCTTTTTTCCCCTCTTTTTATTGCGGCAACACATACTTAACATAAAACTGACCACTTGAACCATTTTTAAGTGTATAGTCAGTAGCATTAAGAATATTCCCACTGTTGGGGCGCCTGGGGGGCTCAGTTGGTTAAGCGTCTGCCTTCGGTTTGGGTCATGATCCTGGGGTCCTGGGATCAAGTCCCACATGGGGCTCCCTGCTCAGCAGGGAGCCTGCTTCTCTCTCCCTTTGCCCCTCCTCCCTGCTTGCCCTCTCTCTCTCAAATATATAAATAAAATCTTAAAAAAAAGAATATTCCCATTGTTTCATCTCCCCCAAAGTGAAACTCTGTACCAATTAAACAGTAACGCCCCATTCTTTCCTTCCTCAAGTCACTGATAACCACCGTTCCACTTTCTGAATTTGAATTTCTCTCTGAATTTGAATACTTCAATGACCTCATATAAGTAGAACGATACAGTATTTGTCCATTTGTGTCTGGCTTATTTCACTTAGCCTAATGGTCCTCAAGGTTCATCCATGTTGTAGCCTGTCAGAACTTCCTTCCTTTTTAAAGGGAATAATATTTCATCATATGTATGTATATACCACATTGTGTTTATCCATTCATCCAAGGTTGTTTGCACCTTGGCCATGGGAAACAATGCTGCCATGGACAAGGGTATACAAATACCTGTTTGAGTCCCTGCTTTCAGTTCTTTTTGGCAATACACCCAGAAGTGGAATTGCTTGCTCAGATCAATTCTATGTTTAATTTTTTTGATGAACTGTTATACTGGTTTCCATAAGAGCTATATCATTTTACATGCCCACCAACAGTGCACAAAGGTTCCAAGGTCTCTACATCTTTGCCAACACCTGTTATTTTCTGTTTCGTTTTGTGTTTTGTAATGGCCATCCTAATGGGTGGGTTTGGCTTTTGATCTGCCTCTGAGAAGGCGAGTAGGAATTGGATGGAAAGGGTAGGTTGTGGGTGCATTTCAGCGGCAGGAAGGGCACAGAGAAAGGCCAGAGGTTTGCAGGGCAAGGGGTGCCTAAGGGGCAGGGCAGCGCCATACAGCTGAAATGTACAGAGCATGGGCCAGAGATGGAGGGGATGAGCACTGAAGGCAGCGGGGACAGCACCATCACAGAGGCCTGAATCCCGAGAATCTTGACTTGATTCCGCTGACCTAACTGCTGGCTCCACAGTCCGGATGGTTAGAACCTCTTGCAGCCAGGGAGCTCCCACACCTAATGATGAGTCCCATATCCGCCATGTCACCCTACATCTCACTAGATGTGACCAGGGCAAGTTACTCTCCCTCTCTGAGCCTTGGTTTTTTCTTCTGTGTTAATGGGATGGGAGGGGGTTCCAAGAGAGAATGAGCTGGTTGCTAGGATTAGTGCATTGCTATGATGGGGAGGCTTTGGGCTGCCGTGGGTGGGCGGGCTGCCTTGCTGCCGAGCTGACTCACCCCTGCCTGTACCTGCTCTGGCCTGCCTGGCAGCCCGGATTCCCAGCCCAACAGACCTCGGCCTAGATTCTGTGGTCAGTCCTCCACGAGTCCTGGAGCCAAGGGGCTCAGGCCGGGAGCAAAGCTGCAATGCAGCCTCAGGCAGGTTCTAGCCACACTGACAGACGCGGGGCTGGTCACAGGGCCTCTCCCGTGCACAGGACTTGCTAGTGGACACAACCCCACTTCACGGACACCTCCAAATAGCTCCTCCACGAGGCAGCAGTCAATGTCCATGTCACAGATGAGGAAATTGAACTCTGATCAGTGTCACGTACCCAAGGCCGCCAGCTAGAAAGCAGCAGAACCAGGATTCAGACATGACTCTCTTTGAGGATTTCTGCATCACTGGGAAGTTACTCTAGATTAATTCCTTTATTTGTTCACTCGTCCTTCAACAAATATTTACTAAGCATTGACTGTGTGCCAGGTACAGTACCAGGAGCGGGTGAGACACAGTTTCTGCCTCTGGACCTTTGCTAGGGCCCTTCCAAGGGCTGGGAATGGCCTCTTATTGAGATTCTGCTATGTGCCAGGAACATACTTAAATTAGCTCCTGCTAATTTAATCCTGCCAGCAGTCTGGAGAGACAGATTATTAGCTTCCTTTTACAGGTAAGAAAGTGGAGAATCAGAAAAGGAAACGAATTGCCCACATCTGCACAACTGGGAAGGGGCAGGGCCTGTGCTTAGATGACCAAGGGTGTGTGTCCCCAGGCCTGACATGTTTGCTCCTCAGCTCAGTGGTGCGGGGTGGGCACTGTGCCAGACATGGCCATGTGCCTACCTGGCCTGGGGCCTGAGAGGCCAGCCCACAACTATGCTAGGCATCTGGACTTCCTATTTTAGTGCTAAATTGGGATGTCAGAAGGGTACTGGGGGGACCCTGAAAGGAGACACACTGTCCCGGGAGCCCGGCTCCACCACGGACTGCATGTAGGACCCCAGGCAAGTCCTGTTTCTCTCTGGCTTCTGTCCTGTCATCATCAAATGGAGTGTGACTCTCTGCTGTGCCTCAGCCTAAGAACTGGGAGGATCAAAGGTAATCATGAGAGATGATACTAGAAGTAGCATGACCAAGGGGCACTGACCAAGGGATAAAGGAAGAGGAGGGAAGAGAGCTGACAATACTCTGTTGGGGACTCAAGTCCGTTCTTTACCTAGCACTTCATACACACACTTAAAGATGAGTTTGGAATTCTCCTCCTCCAGGAAGCCCTCTATGACCCACCTACAGGCTGGATCAGAGGCCTCCTTCTCTCATAGGCCTGGCCACATTGTGTGGTCACTCTTTCCCCCACTAGACTCTCAGGGCCAAGACCAGGCATCCTATACAGCGTCTGCCCAGAGTGGGTGTCTGGGGTCTGTGGGGAACAGATGAGCCCAGCCTCCACCCCTGCAAGCCTTCCCTCCCTCTCTGCAGCCCTCCACACTCTGGCTCTCCTGGCTGGTTCCCACTTTCTCCTCCTTGCCTCCCCGAAGTGGAGAAGGAACGGGGATGCCCTCTTTGCCAGAGCTGAGCCCTCTCTGTGGGCCCCGGGGTCCCCACGAGCGTCCCTTAACTGTACGAGGCATTTCGGAGCCGCGCTCTACCAGGCGCCGCTCTCTACCAGGCTCTGCGCCGCGCGCTGGAATACAGCAAGCCCTCAGAAAGGGCTCCTCCACAAATGACTCTGAATCCCGACCACATGGCATCCATACTAACCACCGTGAGGGGCCATTAAACCTGCAGGGCTCAGCCGAGGATCTCCGGCAGGGTGGCGGGGGAAATGCGCAGAGCGGAAGCAGAAAGGCAGGGGGCGCCCCGTGGGCACAGCCGCGCACAGATCTCGGGCGAATCACAGGTCACAAGGCGGGGTTGCCACGGCAGCGGTGACCCCCGGCCTCAGCCCGAGGAGTCCCGCGGCGCGAGTCCCGACCAAGACCTCGCCTGGGGGCGGTGGGGCCATGGGCACCAAGTGGTTCAGCGGGGCGCCCTTCGGGGTGCAGAGCCACAGGTGGGCCCCCCCCCGCGCCCCGAGGCGCGGCTGGAGCCTGGGGGAGGAGGGAGCGACGGGAGGGGGCCTGGCGGGGGGAGGGGGGCGCCTTTCTCTTCGGGTCACACCTGCTGCACTTCTCGGCCCGGGGTTCGTTCACCATCCTTAAGTGATTGGAAAGCATTTCGAGAGCACCTCCTATGGGCCAGGCGCAGAGAGGTGC